ATGTCCCCCACAAGTCTCAACTGAAGGATTCTAGGAGGAGCTGTGTAGGAGGTGTCAGTAAAATTTGGCAGCAGTAAACAAGAGCTTACCAAGTAAAATTTTGTCGCTAGTTGCAGAGGCAGGGACACCACATGCTCCTAGGTGAAAACAAGTTTTAGTCAAAAGAAAAAACACGGAACTCTCTCTGTAAGAAAATACCTGCTATATTAGCTGGAGTGTAGACAAATTTCATACGCAATCCGACGTCCTCCTCTGTCAGGAGGTACTCGGAAGAACCTTTCGAAACAAGAGTAAAATCTCTGTGAAGGTACGTGCCATCAGTTATACACAGAACATTTGTCCAATAAGCTTACCCTGAATCTTGTTCTTCGCGGAACCACTCAAACTTACTTGTTCCTTCCTTTCCACCAAAGTATTTTCCAGTACCACGAATTGTATTTCCTTCCACGAACTCACCAGTAATACGTACGTTTGCCACAGATGGAGAGGCTGGTATACACAACGTGACAATAGTTACGTGTTTAAAGCTAAAATCATCGTATGTTTTACCTGCGTCAATCACTGGCGTTATAGCATATTGGGACTCGCCTTTCGTGCCTTCTTCTGTAACGGGCGTATACATGAACAATAGATGAGCTCCGACATCATCCAAAACGAGTCTATACTCGTAATCTTCAGCTCCAACAATAGCTACGGGGCTATTGTTTTCAGTCTTTCTGAGCCAGCTGCATTTTACGAAGCATCATAAACCACTAGAATGGAAACTTGAACCAAAAAAAAAATCTATACCTTACAACGCCACTGCCGGGAGTACCTCCGCACCAGGCAACTTCAGCAGAGCCTACCATGCTGTTCCCCTCTACAGGCTCACCATCCACCTGGATACTTAGTACTTTGGGACAGCCAGTGCCTGCGGAAAGAGATTCAATAATCAACGCAGCTGAAAGCTAACAGAGTACCAGGAGAAACAGCAAAAGAAAAGGCAGAAACGGGAGGAAATTGTTGGTCTCCAAGGTAAGGTGTACAATCCACTTTGAGGCAATAACCAACATCTTCGTGTTTAGGCCAGTAGATCTAAACAAAAGATATGCACATTAATATTAAACGAAATATACACTTCAAGCATACCTTGTTAGTAGCACCTTCAATAGGTTCAAAATTCACGGGAGTTTGTTCTCCAATAAACCATTGGTAAAGCAGCGTAAGATCACCCTCCCCGTCGTCTAGCCGTCCAAAGACAAATTCGCAGTGGCAAGGATCCTCTTCGAAAGGACGATCAATAAAAGCTTTTCGAAGAGTGAAGCCGTGTGGCAAATTGTCCTTCCATTGGGATATCAGAAACTCCGTTGTTGATTCTGAAAAACATTACTCATAAAATGAATGCAGAAGTCCATGGAAAGGAAAAAACATACCAGCAGCCTCTTCAGGACTACAAAGCTCCCATCCATCCCGAATACAAAGTGCAGTGCTAGCAGGGTACAAAAGAGAAACCTCCCGTTCCTCAGCAGACAGATCTAAAGCAAAAAATGTAAAAAAAATATTATTCCGAAATGATAGTCCAACCTCTGTCGTTAAACTTTTTCAGTGTTGGTCCAACGAGAAGAATTGAAGCTGCCTCCAAGTGCGGTACCTCCAAGATCGGGTTTTCTTCCAGCCTTAGGTGCTATCAAAGCATTGTGCAAGAATTTTCAAAAAATGACAAACTAAAAACGAGGAATAAAGCCCAACCTCAAGCGCTGGCAGGTGCGGAAAGCCTTTTAACGTAGAAATTTTATTTTTGCTAGCGGCAAGAACCTGCCATGTGAATTTTCAGAAGCTGTACATTGTCAACAAAAAATACCTGTAGCCGTGGCTGGGTGGCCATTGCTAGGGACTTCAGTCTGTTTTGGGCGACGGACAGGAACTACGAGAGAACAAACGACAAGTTAAGTCTGCAAGACAGGACTCTGTGAATAAGAATGCACCTCCAAGTTTGGTAGCTGAGGCAATCCACTTAGTGATGTGATTTGATTTCCAGCAAGGTACAGTTGCTGATCATAGATACTTTCGTTTAGCAAAAGAATAGTGACAATATAGGAAATCAAAAGTACCTGAAGTGCTTTACAGTTTGCTAGCGGTTCGAAGCCGCCGCCCTTGAACTCGTTGAAACTAAGGTCCAAAACCTGCAACAGACAAGTAAAGAAGAGACGCACTTTGGTTGTTAAATTCACCTTGACACGCTTCAAAATCTCAATGCCGTCCATGTTTGACAGTTTGTTGTCTCTGAGATAGACGAACTGTAAATACAAGAATTAGTGAGCCACTTTCATAAACACGCCTTACACCTCTATACCTGTACCGACCTCAAGCTTTGGCGTGAGATGGACGAGGTTGCAGTCCAGACTTCGCAGCTTTTGGCCTCTGAGATCAAGCCTCTGGAAACAACAGCCGTCAGAGAAATCAAGTTGCAATCCTTAGAATGGCACATACCACGTCATCTCCTGCCTTCACATCGACCGGTGGCAAAGTGATCAAACGAGTGTCCCTGGCTTCGGGCGTTAAGGATTTCCTTCTTGCCGCCAACTTATCGGAAGATAGCGTTTTCTCCGATGACATAGACCTTGATGATATTGTAGGACTCTCAAACGCTCTTGGAGATCTCTTCGTGACAGCCATAGGACCAGACTTCTTCTGAAGGCTGCTGGGACTACCATTGGCAACCTGGCCTCTTGATGCTGAAAAAGAGCTGCTTCCACTTTTCGAGGACGGGCTGCAGAGTTTTGAGCTCGCTCTTACGGAAGGACCAGGAGACTTTGGACCAGGCGTGCCTGGAGAGTTTAGCACCGATGGACTGCTACGCCTGAGGTAATCGTTGGGCTTTGAGACGGAACCTGGCGAATGTAGGGACAGACTTGTGACCCGACTAGGAGTAGTCGGCTTCGAGCTACTAATTCTCGACGAGGATGATGACGAGTTTGCCCATCTCTTGAGCTCTGCTGCCGACGGTGCCGAAGACCGTGCCGATAACGCAGGCAAAGACTGCCTCCGTGTAGAACCGAATGACGTCCCAGTCGACCGTGACAAGCTAGCACCTGGACTGATCGAACTTCTCCTGCTGCTCACGCTCGACGGAGTCACTGGCGGTGTATCAACTCCCGGAGTACGTTTCTTCAAAGCCGGGGCTTTGGGCGTTGTCGTCATTGAAGACGCCGAAGCCTTGGCCGCGGCAGAAGCCCTGGGAGTGACTGGAGCACTGATGCTACCGTTGGACTTGCTCGAAGTGTGAAACCCATTCCCATTTCCATTCGCCTCTGCCTCTTGTTGTCTTCTAGCAATCGCTGCCGGTGACGACGACTTGAGAAATGGCCGCACTGGTGTGGTAGATCCAGGTGACGAAGCTGGAGACTTCTTCATCGTGCCACTGGATGTTCGAGCCAGAGATCTCCCGCCGTTGCTAGATCCCGAACCCCTGCCCAACGATGGCCCTTTCTTAACCTTGCCACTAACCTCTGCCTTGCTCTCCGCTGGAATCTCTTCATCGGCCGGAGCTTCGCTGGCCATATCTGGATGATCCTCATCGTCATGCTTTCCATTCGGCAAATCGTCCGGATCTGCTACTGTTACTCGCAAAGACGAGCCGCCGGGAGGAGAAATCTCTCCACTTTCCAGGCTCGTCCCATCCAGCATTGGACCTGCATTGTCGTCCGAGTAGATTTCCAAGGGAGGATCAGAGAGCTCCGGCCTGTATTCCTCAAGCTTCGCCGCCTCCATCGATCCTAGGGCAGCCAAATCCGCCTTGTTTTCCACTGCACACGCAGATCCAAGCTCTAGAATTGAGATATCGCAGATATCTCGCGCCGCGCAACTTACCGATCGATCGATGATATTCACGGCGCCATGGCGCTGCTCCCTAGCGATGGCGCGCCTCGCGATGCCGCTCCTCCGCCATCACTCCGCCTCAAATCTCGTGAGAAGATCGCTAGGGTCTCGATCGGAGGTAGCTCAAGCACAGACAGAGAGAGAAATGGAGCTCCAGAAACTCTTTCCATGAAAAAGTGAAAAAAAAAAAAAACAAAAGGAAAATGCTGCCGTGGTAAAACTCGGCGGGAATGTGAACGGGGACCCTTCACCCCTCACTGATGACGTGCCAGCAAACCCATTGGCACGCTCCGGCCGCCGTCACCAGTGACGGCTCGCCTTCACGCCCCGCGCGTTGACGGAGGCCAGCAAGATAATGACAATAATTCACAATAATTCTGCCCCTCACTCCTCATGTTTGGTATCTTTTACTTTCACCCTCACGTTGTTTTTAGTGTTGCCTCCCAAAACAACCGCGGCATATTCTCCCAGCGATGCGCCTCTAGTCAAACGTCCTTGACTATAACACTTGACCAGCTACAAATCCTCCCCCCAGCTGCCCCAATTTATCCAGTCCATCCACTCCACGGGGATGCTTACAAATCCAACGGTCCACCAGCCACTGCATATCCACAATCGACCAAGAGATTGGGGCAGTGGGCCACCACTTGGGTGGCCTGTCCCCAACAACGCTCTCTGGGCCCAATTTGCCAACATTAGCATATTCGTGCCATGTGAGAGAACGTTACTGTGTGGGTTTTTTATAAAGGCCTGGCCAAAACTTTTGGGACTATAGCTACATTGGGCTGGTCTTCGCTGGCTAGATGATTTCACAATTTGTATTTGTATTAAAGGTTTAAATCAAACAGTTTTTACGTTTGTGGTAAAGTTTCACCCCTGTAAAAAGTATAAGTGCTAGCATGCGCTGTGCGTGCTCAAGGAAAGGCACGCCACAAATTGCTTGTGTTGCTGGGGACGACTTTGGACGGACGCCACAAGATCTTCTAAGCTTGGATGTCTTTCATACAAATACCGTACATATGGTCGCGGCAATGGAGGAGGGAGACGGTACATCACCGTCGGGAATTTCTTTTCGCGCGCACCAAAGATCGATAGCGACGTGAAGTACTTTTCTTTTTCCCGCGCGATTATCCATTTGGTGGAATTTAGGGCGGAGGGCTAGGGTTTTGCGGAGCGCGATGGCGACGACCACGGCGGTGGCGGCGTTGCTGCTCGCCGCTAGCAGCGGTGAGATCGTCAAGGCCTTCGACACGTCCACAGCTGCCGGCCAGGGTGATCCGTGCTTGTTCCAGTACTCGCCGGCACCAGATTCTCAGATAAACTCTGTGAAGTGGAATCACACCAGTAAGTGGGAGAGAGAAATGCCGCTCTTGATCGCCTACATTCTTGTGGTGTTTCGCAGATATGGTCCTGGCAAGCGCTGGAGACGACGGGAAAATCTCGCTGTGGACGCAGAAGCTCCAGTCTGTGGTGACAATTGCCAGCGATCCAGCTGAATCCGTAGTGGTAACTTTCTAGTTTCGATTAAAACATCTAGTCATGGTCGATTGCTCTTCTTTTTCCTCTAGGAATCTATACTGGCTATGAATTTCAGCACCAAGAGCTCTAGATATCTATGCTCTGGTGGAACAGCCAAGGTGGTTAGAATTTGGGACTTGCAACGAAAAAGATGTATCAAGTGGCTCAAGGGGCACGCAGACACCATTACTTCCGTCATGTACAATTGCAAGGACGAGCATGTCGCTTCCGCCAGCGTCGCTGGGGACCTTATTCTACACAATTTGGCGTCCGGATCACGCATTGCGGAGCTCAAGGACCCGCACCGCCAGGTGAGAGTGAAAATCTTTTCATTTCCGGAGATATGCAGTTATTCATGAGTCCAAAGGCTTTGAGCTGCATATGGTATGATTTCTTTTGGCGGGAGATGATGAGCTTTGCTGAGTTAAGTTTCTTTCAGGTTCTTCGGGTACTGGAGTTTTCGCGACTGAGCAGGCATCTCTTAGTTACCTCTGGCGATGATGGCTCGGTTCACTTTTGGGAAACAACCGGTCGCAGCCCAAAGGTGATTGCTGTAGCTTTGTAAAATGTGTTCTTCACATGCATGGATTTTGCGACAGATTTCCTGGATTAAGCAGCACCTTGCCCCAACAACAGGCGTGTGCTTTTCTCCACCAAATGATAAGGTCGCATTCACCTCTATTGACGCCACCTAAGCAATCTCTTCTGTGTAGGTAGTAGCGAGTGTTGGACTTGACAAGAAACTGTACATTTTCGACGTAGGGGTGAAAAGGCCAGTTCACTCCGTTGCGTGTGAAACACCCTACAGCTCAGCAGCATTTCGGGACGATGGTGTCATCTTAGCTGCTGGTACAAACGACGGCCGCGTTGTGTTTTATGACATTCGCGGTGGCAAACCTCAACCATCTATGGCACTACGTGCTTATGGTGCATCTAAGGTGGGTCAATTGGTGTCGAATTTTGTTACTGTAATTTCTTTTTCGTGCAGGCTGTCACGAGCTTAAGCTGGCAACGGTCCAACCCCATTCAAGTGAATGAAAAATCCTGGACAATGGAAATGGCACTGTTAGGACCTGGTCGGGATGACCCCGTCATAATGCCAGATCCTCTTCCTCCGAGCATTGGTCGTGGTCGTTCTAAAACTGAGGCGATGCCATTGAGAAACGCTGGGCGCTCGAGTTTAGGCTCCGAGGGAGCAATTCTAAGACCACCGACAGGTGAAGAAACACCGAGCAATTATTTGCTCACAAACGGAAATGTTTCCCGGTTGCAAATTTCACGGAACGATTTTATGAGAGACGATATGGAAGTGTTTTCACCCTTGGTGGACGTGCAGCCTATAATGCCTTCAGCTACAAAGAACTGGGATACCGGTGCCAAAAATTATGAAGGAGATGGTTTCTTGAAGTATTCAATGGGAGCTTATAAACTCCCGTCCTTCGAAGATAGCAGCAGAGAAACATTCCAGGTACTATTTGGCTTTCTGAAGTTCATGTTTTTTAATGGGAACTTTATTCATTAACAGGACTCGTCTCTTGCTGCTACTCCTCCAGCGGTAAGAGAAACTCGTTCGCCGTCTGTGACACCGCCAGAGGCATGGGGAGGTGATGCGATTGCCGACAGGGGATCGCTTCGATTGCACTCAACATCCAGATTTGCTTCGGGGACAGCTAGTGCAAGTGCAGCTTTATCCGGACATGTTCGGGTGGATGCGCGTACCGTTTCAGCCATTCGTTCTCCCGTTAAGCTCTCTCCAGCCGAGCAAAAAGCTGTCAATCCTGAATCATGTGCACCACCGGAGAGGAGCCTCTCCTGGGACACTACTGCTCTTGCAGAGCAGTTGTTACTGGCTAACCGGAGAGGCTTGACAGAAGAGCAACCAGGGACTGATGAGATCAGGGAGAACGGAATGGATCTACGGCACGACTTCACAGCGTCAACTGTAAGGACTTCATAACTGCAAGAAACGAAACTTTCTGATTATTTATGTGTGGTTTTGAACAGACGCAACCCCAAGCTTCTTATAAGCGCTCTCCACAGCAGCCAGCACCTCCGGCCTTTGGGCTTCAACTTGTTCAGCGAGCTCTCGAAGAAAGTCTTAGTGGAGTTCATAAGTCTATTCATGAAGATGTACACAACTTGCACCTGGAGCTTCTTCGGCAGTTTCATATTCAACAGGTGCTGTTTTGTTTTGTTGTGGTTGGTTGCTCTTGACACGTACCTATTGCAGAGTGAGATGAATGTATTGATGAACAAAGTTTTAACGAAGCAAAACGAGCTCATGGACGAAATTAAGACACTTCGAAGGGAGAATCAGCAACTTCTTCAGTATTTATAGCATAGGTAAATTGGTGGACTTTATACTTCACGGAATGATTCGTTTTTCTATTGCAGGAAAGCTGGACTTCTAGAACGGATTTGTACATTCCCACTTCTCTGCCATTCTTATTGATATCCACCGTTCTGGCACAGATCTAGGGGTCTGCGCTCTGGTAAATAAACCTCCTCCATTTTCCTATGAAGACAAACTAATCGCTTTTGAATTGTCCAGTCTCTGCTCTTTCGATTCTTGGTTGCCTCATCAAAGGATTGAAGGCTTCATAGTTTCTGTGCTACCATTTTCACCGCATCTGCGAGAGCCACCAATGCACGGGTAAGTAGTGCAGTGTCTTTACTTTTCTTCTTGGTCTCGGTAGTCGTCGTGTCCGGGCTTCTGTCGCTTTTTTCTAACACCTTCATGAAGCAGTCAATGAACTCCTTGGAGCCGTCCTTGCTACTAGCATGTACAAAATTGTCGAACACCACCGGGTTCTCCGCGAAGACCGAAGCTGGCTGTTGCTGCTGCTGCTGCTGCTGCTGCTGGTGATGGTCCATTACTAGCCTCCTGGCCCTCTTCCTGCCGCTGGTGTCCGAGTCGATGGAATTCACATCAGCTTCGTCGCTGCCCTCCTTGTCCTTGTGCTGCACCAAAGGTACGATGAGAGGAGGCTGAGTGTTCTCCCGTTGCTGCTGCTGCTGCAACACTAGCTGGCTCTGCTGCTGTTGATGGTGCTGTTGCTGATGGCATAGATTTGTTTCAGGGGGAGGAGGATGGCAAATACCTTCCGAAGGAGAGATCCCCGGCGACGGTGGCATCAGCTTCATGTAGCCGTTCTTCTGCATGCGGTCGATCTCCTTCTTCTCCTCCTTCTCGCTCTGGATGGCGTGCAAGCTGTAGAAGACAATCTCGTCCATCTGCGGCGGCAGGTTCGCATCCTTCCTCTCCTTGTTGGTCATGTCCTTGAAGTAGTTCTTGGCCGCGCCGCCTATCATGCATTGCCAGTCCCGCACTGCCTTGTAGTCCTTCATCATGTTCTCCCACTTGTCCTGGCACTGGCTCCCCGTTCGTCCCATGTCTTTGGCCTCCATATGTGCTGCTACGATCCTCCATCTCTCCGCTGCCGGTAGCTTCACACCCCGCTTGTACATCTGACACCACTCTCGCTCCTTCCGCTTTGCGTCGATCAGAGTCAGCATCTCAGGAACTGTCCAGGGAGCGCTCCGGCTCCTCTTTTTTATTGGATTCCGTCCGCCAGCCGAGTGAAGTGACGATGATCTCGGTGCCGCTGGAGCTGCTGCTGCCACCGCCGCTTGCACCGCTTGAGCTGCCGTGGGTGGCGGCGCTGGGCTCAGAGTGTTTCCGGCGGCGGTGGTGGTGGTGGTGGTGGTAGTGGTGGTGGTGGCTTCCCCCGCCTGTGTGGGATCAGAGGTCGTTTCACCATTGTCGTCCATCGTAGCGGTTGCATGAATTCCTGGAAGAGATTGGGGTGGGAGGAGAAGACGAAGAACAGGGAGAACACGTAGCGAAGGAGTAGAAGAAGGAAAGAGGAGGGGAGATTGGATTGGATTTGCCTGCTATCTATCTCTCTCTCTCTCTCAGTAACTGATGCTCGTCATCCGGATGTGCAAAGAAGATATCTTTTTTCTTCCAGGAGAGAGGCCGCGAGGAAGATCAAGAGGGGGAGAAAGAGGAGAAGAAGATAGAGGCGGTGGAGGAGGAAGAGAAGGGCGTTGGGAATGCGAGGCGTTTGCTCCTCCAGCATTTGGGGAAGCCAGCAATTTGGAGTAGCAATAAAAAAAACTGGAATAACTGCCTTGTTTGCCACGTTGCATGTCAGCCGGCGTGCTGATGTGGCGGTTTCTAGCCCTAATTAGGGCAGTGCATATATTCTTTAGATTATATAAAAAGTTGGTGAACTAAATTTCATTCTGAGCTGCTGGGCAAGCTATGCCACATTGTAGATTCTAAGATAACACAGTGACCTTAATTGTTTGTGTGACTTCCAACTCTTCTTTGCTTGACATTATCATGACCTTCTTAGACCATTTCATGCTTCCACTCTCATTCGACACCTTTAAACTTTGATTGCCGGTGAGAAGCATCTCCGAGTCATCACCTTTGTTATAAGAACTGGGGTTCTAGTTGGATTGTAGCCAATGGTTTTTATAGATCCACTTCTAATATTCTGATTGTACCACCGCACGATGTATAAAATAGAAGTGAATGACCGATCCAGAACCTGTTTAGAAGCGCATGATTGGAGTAAATTTCTGGCTTGTTTTTCTGCTCTCAGTAAATGACATAGTGGCCAGGCTGCTCCGACGCTCTTGTTCATCCAGGTTTACACTTAGCACCGCATTGCGACGATATTCAAATGCCATTTGTGGACTCTCGTGAAAGATTGGCTGTTTAACACTGTCAAGGAAGGAAATAAAAAACAGAAAGCAGAAACATACTGAAAAATCCACAAGAACGCAAACAGTAGCATCCACCAGCTATGTTGGAACAATCCGACGAACAGCACAAAAAACGTATGAGTTTCAAAGAAACTAAAGCTCCAATAAAACCAAAATTTCACCTTCCAATGTGTTAGAGCATCATTGATATGCGAAGAACTAGAAGTTTTAGGGTTTACAACAAGATCGACTTTATTTTAAAGGCTGATTAATAGCAATTCATAACTTATAGGTTTACTATGAAACTGATAATAAAAATTGGAGAAAAAGAAATTAGATATACTAAAGGACCACTGAAATGTATCTTCATGGTTTTATAACTTCCGTAACTGTGTTATATAAGTTAGTTCTATATGACCTGTATTTTCAAACCTAAGACCAACAATATAATTATATTTAACAGCTAGCTTTATATTTTGTTTTTTATTCTTTGTATATTTGGATTATAGGTAAAATATGAGATTTTTTTGTTTTTTATATATTTTGTTTATTTGTTCTAAATTTTAATATAAATTAAATTAACATGAGTATTATTATTTACTTTTTAAATATGATGGTTATATTATCTACTTTTATATATATTTTATTTATAGTTAATAGAACTACACTAGCATATTTACCAAATGAAGCAACTCAAGAGTGTATATTTATTGGTAGCCGAGCTACACCCCCACCTCAAAATTATTGCAAAGTTACAAATCGTGTCAAAAACGCATTTTTTAATAATAATTGGAAAAATGGACAATATAGTCATTCTTATAAGGGAATTAATGTTACTATTGTAGTACATAGATCCTCTACTGGTTTGGGTGGTTTTCAACAAGAAATCGAACAAGCTTTTAATTGGATATATAATGTCTGTTTGCATTCAAGAACATCAAAGGGTGGTTATGTTATATTACATGATGGAAGCTTATCTGTTAATGTTTCAGTGGACTGAGAAAAATAGTAATATTTTCTGTTGTGTTTTTATTAATTATAATCAATTACTAAATGTTTTTGTTTTTTGCTTGCCAAATCCAACATTCTCAATCAAAACCATTAATTTACTATACACATCTAAGAAAGCAAATCAGGTCTTGGAGATCAGATCCGCTTGGGTTAAGGAAAATGCAATCTACTATGCCTGTGAGGAGCAACACTCCCTTGTAATTCACCAAAGATCCTTCTTTCTTGAGGTCCAGAGCCAGCTCTTTCCAGGATATATGTTGGAATATGTGGTCGGTAGTATAGATTTAATTGAATCAATAAGGTTGTATTGTTCTATTTTCCGTAAGAAGCATCCCCCTTATTTAACACAAATATTCCATTTTCAGGTGACAGTGGAGAATACACCATCAGTAACTACAAAGTCATGCCGAAACTCAAATGCCTCGCTGCTCCACTCGGCCACTCGGAACAGCCGATTTCTTCCCACAAACCACAGCAGATGCATCTCCACCTCCAACTGGAGCTTGAATTGGAGCGGAAACCTTGATCTCATGCTCGGGTGGAGATGCCACATGACGTCGGGAAAGCTTTCCACTTTGATTCCTGTGCTTCCTCCTGGAAATGGGGCCTGGAAACAAAGAAGAGTTCCATCGATCCATCAAAAGATCCTAGGAAAGGGAAGAAAACGAAAGAGATCCTCCATGCAATGCAAAGAGAAGAGATGGTTGGCTATGGAGGACGAACCTTGAGAGACTTGGTAGATAAGCTCAATCCAGAGTGTGGCTTGTTCGCATTGTACCTCACCCCATTGTGGCTCCATCGCAAGAGCCTCCACTCAAACACCGCGGTGTTCCCAGACCCCAATTCATCCTCCACGCCCCCCCAATCCCCAGCACTGATCATCTCCCTCTCCGTGGATTCCTCGAATTCCACCCCCCAGCTCCTCTCGCCACTGATCGTCACGGGCCCAAATCCAACCTGAGCGCCAATCTTGTTAGCACTGCTCCTCGTCCTCGTGCTCCCGCTGCTAGATCCACCGCCGCGATCGCTCCTGGGCGTGTAGAGCGGGATCGCAACGGCGCTGGGATCGCCCAGCAGTGGCTCGACCGAGAATCTTATCCGGCAGGGGTAGAACCCCAGCGCGGCCTCGTTCTTGAGCACGTCCATCAAGAGCACGCCCACCGAGAGGGTCTTGATCCGGAGCTCCACATCCACGTTGGCGGGCGTGATGCGGACGCTGGGCTCGATCGCCAGTGAGATTGCCACGCGCTGCTCGCGGACTTTGTGCTGGATCGCGGCCGGGATCGCGATGCGTACCTGGGGGGAGCTGGGGTTCCTGGTGTCGAGCTGGATGCAATGGCACGGCCGCCACGATGATCCGTCGCCATCGCCGGCGATGCGGTAGAGTGGATGCCCGGCATTACGATCGTCCGAGGAGGATAGTGGCGGAGCCGTGTAGTCGATCTGGGGAATGGAAGTAGGGAAGAGGAGAGAGGAGGGGGAGGATCCAGCGGAGGAAGAATCGATGACTAATCTCTTGGTCTTGATCTTGGGCAGGACGAAGAGGGATGGATCGCTGGGGTCTTGAACGTAGAAGTGTTCTTCTAGGATTTGCTTGGCTATGGCGAGCTCTGATGGATCTTCCTCCCATACCTCGGCATCGCCTAGCTTCACGTCCTTGCCGGATCTACATAGCTCCCGGAGCTCCTCCATGGGGAATTCTCGAGATCTCCACACCAAAAAAACAGAATATCCTTATAATTTTTATATATTTTTGTAAAATATAGCATTTAAGAATATACTCGAACATTTTGACTTGGGAAACTTCGCGGCAATCGAAAACATCGTCTACCATTGTGAGCTGTGCCAGTTTTGCTATGATTGAGTTCTATGTGACTTAAGTTTTCACTTGTCATGGTTTAACCAGGATTGACAAGCCTTCCGAAGCCAAATGCCGGCGTCTTCACAATCGCTGGAGATGCCACTAAAAGGAAAATCCACATCAAAGTCGCCACCAGTCCTGGAAGGATAAATTGACATGCACCAGGATATGTTTGTGGAGTTACTTGGATTTGAACTCTCAAGAAGATGGGCCAACCGCATTCTTTCTCAGAACTATGCTGCACAGAATTTCACGCTCCCCAGCTGGAAAGATCTGCCGAATTTTGGGCTTGCAATCACTTTCCTAGATAAATAGCTTCACGAGAGATGATCATCCAAAGCTCGCAACCACCATCCAAAACGTCCTCACGACTAGAAGGAAAGCCGAGCAGCGGCTGTTTTAGGTAGGCCAGTCTATATTTATACCGAAGGTTTCTCAAATTGTCTCTAGGGATATGGCACACATGGCGGTACGTTCTAATGTGGAAGGATGAAGATGGCAGAGATCCATGAGTTGTAACCATAACGAGCTGAGTCCTAGGAATCGATCCTCCATGGTTGTCCCACAGCTCCAAAGGTAATAGTAGTGCACTGATCTTGCCAGCAAGTGCATACCCAATCTCTTAAGTCAGGATGCAGCTATACTATTGCTTCGATGGAGCGAGCCAAAGTTTGAACCTATGGACATGAAATGAGACATGAGCGGCTCTATAGAGATCTACATTGTCAAGTCCATTTCAAGCATAAGTTGGGTCCATCAGGAGCTTAATCGGACCTGTTTAATCTATCAGACTTAGGACTTAAATTTGTAGGGTAGTTAAGTTTTGCATTTTGCAAGGTAATTTTATTTTCCTTCTTGATGGGAAGGGTGAATTCATTATTAAAGATAAAAATTAACTTACACTTCCCAATATATTGATATTTATATATCAAAAACTCTTTGAATACAATTAATTCAATCATACAAAATTCTTCTTTCTTTCTCTTGATGCCATGCATCATAAGCATGTCCTTAATTAATTTTGCTGTAATCATCATCACCATGAACATCAAATCATTTAAAGTTTCAATCTTTAGAGAGTAAACTCAATACTATTCAAATCCAAAGACATTTAACTGATTGGAAAAAATGTGCACTTTTATCTTTCCTTTTATATTTGAACTTTTATAGATTGTCTCTCAAGTTATTCTCTGTACTTATAGGTATTAAAGAGATAATTTTCCACAATTACATCAAATTAGGATATATATTTATTATGGAAATGTCATCTCTATATATCTGCCAAGACACTAGCCTATTTTTTGTTGGCAAATTACTTTGCATAACAATTACAAACTTTGTGAATTCTCCTTTACATTTTTCCCAATCAATAAAAACACTATACTAGTTTAGTAAAATATCTAGCCATATGGAAGAATTATTATTTAATTCTTCCTCATTTAAGTATTTGAGTAATTCTTTATGCTGAACAGTATTGTAGTATTGAACATGCTTATATCATTTCACATTCTAGTTAATACATTAACATATAGTTTCTGAACATACTTCTTGCTTAAATGTAAGCAAGAACTCAAGCTATTATTTTTTTTGTTCTCTAGAATAGGAGTATAATCAAAAATATGCTTATGTTATTCCCCTCTAACATCT